CATAACTTGAGGACAAGTTATGGAAGACTTTAAAAAACATTTAAGGAAAAAAAACTCTTCATTTTCATAACCTATGAGTTTAAAGTAGTTTAATGGATAAACTCTTCAAGTTCCATAACTTGAGGACAAGTTATGGAAGACTTTAAAATCATTTAAGAAAATAAGACTCTTCATTTTTCCTAACTTATGGAAATCTTATGATTTTTAAAAATCATAAATGTGACTTTTCATATAACTTGAGGACAAGTTACAAAAACACATTTTATGAACAACTTTAAGATTAATTTCGATTGAAAACAAATTATCACATAACTTTTCTATTAATCTAAACTAACTCATAAGAACAAGATAATTCAAGTCAAACAATTTTCATGTAATTAGCCTAACCACTAAAGTAATACAAAACATGAATCTATTGACAATTATCTTTTGAATTTGGATTAGTATGAACATTACCACATAAAAACAGGTTTACCCGTTCAAAAACAGCTTAGGGTAATATTTCTAGTCCAAATCCAGCCTTAAAAGTCGAAAATATGTTGTCAGGGGGTCCAACTCGTCGAGTGCATGAACCAACTCGACGAGTCGGATGAATTTCTTCATGGACTCAGCGAGTCCAGTGCCCAGACAACCAAAATTTTCGATTTTTCAGCCATTTCAGCAAGTATAACATGAAAACAAGCCTTGGCTCTGATACCACTGTTGGGTTTTAGTATAATACAACATCCTATGGTGCACATACAACCCTAAATACCTTGGATCTATGTTTTCACTAATTATACATGCAAATTGTTTCCAAGGTATTGAACCTATAGCTAGCATGCAATTGTCATACAAACTACATAAAATACTAGATACAGTAACATACCTTTTGTGTGGCTGGAAGTCTTGATGTATTTGGCCTTAAGAACTTAGCCCCAATAGTGTGGAAGCCTCAAATGAAGTCACAACACATCAAGGACAAAGGTAGGACTTGAGAGAGAATCTCCATGCACTCTAAAACCTTCATGAACTCCAAGAACATGCACACACACACTAGTGTTGGCGGTTTTAGGTCATCATATATGTATTTATATGTGTTGAAATCTAAGAGTCATGTGTATAACCCAAACCCATACCCATGGGTTTTATGATCCATGGTTCATATGACCCAACTCTTTATGTATCCATACATAAACTTGGTCCAACATGGATCATAAGCCCAACACATATAAATATAACTAATTACCATAATTAGTCCCCATAGATTTTATTAGTATCTTTTGATCACTAAAATAATTCCAAATTAATTCTTGATCAACACTAATTAAAACATATGATTTCATATTAATATATTATAACTTATAATATATTAATAAATCATATATAACCTCTTCTCTCAAAAGTCCATCCTAACAAATTGTCCTGATGATATGCAACCCAAATGGACCATGCTACTCTCGGGTCAAATACATACCAATAATAGTTATGGGCTTAGACACCTAATCCAACAAGATAAACCGATCTAACAGATCATACTCGCATAACATCATCCTATCTATCAGGATATCGATCTAACAATTCATAGCAACATATTACCATCCTATGTACCAGGATACTGATCTAACAGCTCATACTAGCATAACATATCAGGATAACAATCCAAAAGGGTCGGCCTTGGTGCCTTAGACCCTTGAGTATAGTGAGGAAACTCAACTCATAGATGTCGAACTGTAGTGACAATACAAAACTTTTGAATCGCAGCCACGAACTCAACCACCTATCACCACCATAGGACCAAGTCCATCAAAATCCCAATTTACCAAAATACCCTCAAAGTCCAACTGGTCAACCCTTGGTCAAAGTCAATGGTCAAAGTCAATGGTCCATGTTGACCCGACTCGTCGAGTGCAGCTAGAAACTCGTCGAGTTACTTAAGAACTCAGGAATTCATGAAACCCTAACTGACTCGGCGATTTTCCAACCAACTCGTCGAGTCCATGTGTGTACAGAAGTCGGGGAAACCCCTTTCTGACTTGTCGAGTCCCCTTACTGAATCGTCGAGTCCATGTAGAACCCAACCACGGTCAATCTTTATCGGACTCGCCGAGTCGTCTATGCGACCTGTCGAGTTCATGTAGTCCATTCCTTATACATATGTTTTTAAGCCACCCCAAAGCTCCATATTGCAGATCCAACATCCTAGGGCATGGTTTCCACGTAAAGTTGCAAACTTTACGTACATGCATGGTCCTAAATGCCAAAACTAGACTAAGGGTAAGGTTAACTCAAAGGGAAAGACCCAAGCTTGCCAGATCTCATAACTTTATGGCTATATGGACCAAGGGGAGTCCAGATCTGAAGTTACAACTTCAGATGTTAGCCCAATACCCGAAATGACTTCCAAATATCCTAAAGATGGCACTAAACTTAGGCATGAAGAGATCTAATCAAAGATAAGCCAAGGCAATGACTTTATACCTTCAAAATGATGCTAAGATGAAGTAGAGTCAGATCTACAAGCTCCTCTTTGCCCCAAGCTTCTTATACTTCACACCTTCTTCACAAAATGCACCAAAATCACTTTTTAAGCCTCACAATCACTCAAGGGCAAGGTTAATGGTGATTAGGGTTTCTTCTGGCCATCAATGGGTGATAAGGGACTAGAGGAAAGGACTTAAGGTCCTTTAAATAGGGCGCAGACCCTAAAAATTAGGGTTTCATCTCCCAGCTCCTACTCGTCGAGTCTGGATCCTCTGACTCGTCGAGTAGATCCAATAATCCACGCAGGCTAACCCGCCTCTACACGACGAGTTGGGGGCAACCAACTCGTCGAGTAGGTCCATAAATATGAATATAATTCTTTAAAACTTGTACCTGGGAGTCGGGGTGTTACAATAGGATTTAGGAATTTGCCAAACTCCCACGTATGGATCAGATAGCCAAGATAATCATATAGCTTCATGCCTACGAGGATGTAGGATTTATCCTTACAACAGAGGATCAGTTAGAAATCTATGTCGCTTAGATAGCCAAAGAGATCGTCGAATGCTCAATACATACACCAGACTTAGGAGTTTTATTTCAACCATAGTAAAAGATTTAGTTAACCTGTTCCAAAGGATTATAGCAGTAGGATCAACGTCAAGGGAGAGAATATTTTCGTAAGTATGATTAGAAACCCATAGGAGGAGACCATTTAAAAAGGAGTATGACCATTAAACATATGGTAATGCTCCAGTGTTACTTTAGGCATCATGATATACTACATGTTTAGTTATCCATTTAGTCAATAAGCGTAAGAATTAATAGAAAACTAGGATCGAATTTCAATGTTTACAGGTTGACATAGGACGACAGTTAGACTTTAGTATCCGTACAGTGCAGATTAAGGACCTCTAATCAATTATATCCCCAAAAGTTTAAAAATCGGGGATCTGTTATGATATGTAGATATCAAGGAAGGATGACAATTAGGTTCCTGTAGGACGGTCGAATAATCGTTGTGAGTCTTTAAGACCACCGAATGGTTGTGAGTCTTTAAGACCACCAAAATGGTTAATCTCGAGTCTTATTACCCAAGGAGGGGATGATGACAAGAGCGATCTAGCATCGTAAACCCAGTAGTTGGATAAGCATCACGACATACCGTGAACGAATTACTCGAAAAATAGTTTTACCTCAATATAGATAAGGTAGTAGAGCTTTGCGAAAGGGATATTAGGCGACCTAGTGTTCATTATAATCTAGTAGGCTGGAAGATAAGCAAGCCTTATTATGAGTCCGTCACCAATACTAGAATATTGGTTCTAGTGTTTTCAAACTAGTAAACCCGTTATAGTAGTTTTTATTAAAAGCAGGATGTTGGAACACCTGAACTAGGTAAAGAAACTATTTATAATATAGGTTTGTGTGTGTTTTAATGATATAAACATAAGCCTTTTAGAAGCATGTTCTTGAAAATAGATTTCGTTAGGATGTCGTAGATAGAACTCCATAGTTAATCACCTCATAACTAGTTGATGGTATCAACATTTTATGTCTGAAGGTGATCGTCAATTGTAGTGTGTAAATTTTGGAAGTCCAGACCGACGAATTACCAGTTTTGGAAGACTTCACGAGGATTTCGGGAGTACGTCTAAGGCAGAAAATGAAGTTCTACTAGAAATATCGATGCGTAAACATTAGCTAGATCACAAGTTGATCTCGATAACTCCAATAAGATAACATCTAGGTGCCCTGGGAGTAGGATTTCGGGGAGAAAATCTATATAAGTGGGGGAGAGTTATAACACCCCATTTTCGCCTTATAGTATAAACAACCAGTCACATAAATAAATGTTTTTGATAGAAGACTATTTAGGATAAATAGTTTTGCCAAAAGTCATAGTAATCTCAAAACCGAGAGTGTGCATATAGAGAACGTCTGAATCTGACGTCATAAGAGGAACTCACTAAGCCTCATGGTATATGGTATTCTAGGGAACTCACTAAGCCTCGTGCTTACCCAGTTGAATAAAAATGTTTTTCAGGTACTTCAGTGATTCGTGAGAATGGCAAGGTTTGACTGTACACATGCACATTCACAAGTTGTTTCTGCATAATGTAATTACACTCAGATATATTTTAATAAATAAAGATGAAAAATATGGGTTGAAAATATGGACGTTACATATTTTCCTAAACTACAGGGACCATTTGCGTAACTTACCCTAAGCAATAATATCTCATCTCTTATTTTCTCTCTTAGTGCCTTTATAACCATCATCCCCTTTCATAAGATTCATAAACAGGTTTTCTATTTGTTCAAAGATTATATATAGATTGTTTTAGATGTTTTTTTTTGGTATAATAGATTGCATTTCCATTGAAAAAAATATTACGGTTTATCATATTTAAACTGGGTTTTTCTTATCTTGGACATTAATAATCAAATATTTGATTTTGTTAAAAAAATGGTTAATTTTTATATTCAATTCAAACCCATTAGGGTTAGAGATTCATTCAATTAGGGCTTGTTCAATGAGAGCTTTAGATGATTGTCATTACAGCTTAGGGCTAGAAAATGGGATAAACCTTGGTGGGTGTGTTGAGCTTGATTTTGAGCAGGACCCAAAGACTGTAGCCGTTGAATATTCTTTTAAAGTTTTGTTGGAGGGCTTGGGTGAAGATACCGATAGAGAAAGAATTAGTAAAACCCCACTTCATGTTGCCAAATCTCTTCACAAAGGGATCAGAGGTTCGTTCATTTTGGTTATATCACTGCAAACGATGAGGCGCTGAACTGTCACCACCGGTATAGGGATGAGGTTAGGGTTCCATCTACCTCTAAAATGTGACGCCACAAGTCTTATAGTAAAGAAAGGAGAATAAGTATATCCCCTAGTATGAGGTCTGAATCACCATTTTGTAGTCTAAACATCGGGGCGTCCGACGTCGACAGTAACATTACGCCGACAAAGATGGTTTCAATTCCGACAAGAAACAATGGTAGAGGCGATCAACCAAATGCCAGTACAAATATATTTGGATTTTGGCATTTGGCCACTGTAGTTTAGGAAAGTAATAATAAAGTACACTAAAAAGGTAAAAATGTCCTTTTACAAAACTTAATGATAATTTGGCACATTGACCATTTATATAGTTTTGTCTATTTTTTATACCATTCATTTAAATCATGTAACATCCAGTTTCAGGATAGCGGACCGTAATATGATCAAGTAAACATCTTGAGCTTCTAAGGAATAAATTTTAGACCTTATTAGATGTTGATAATGTTGGTTAAGTTATTTAAGCCCCTGGAAGTGTGAATTGGAGCCAAAGAGTAAAATGGGAAAAGTGATATTATGGACTATTAATTAACATTTAGTTCGGTATATTTTAAGTCAAAAGTATTTGGATAGGATTGTGGGACTTGTCAATACCTTCACATGCATATAAAGATCACTAAAATCTGGTTCAGAACGAAGAAGTTATGATTGTTTGAAGCTGAAGTTGAAAACTAAAAAATCCAGAATTTATTCGAGAAGCATGGGGCGCCCTTTAATGAGCGTGGGGAACCTCCAGCCAAGTGGGCTGCGTGTTTTTAGGATCTATTTGGTATTTAAAGGCACTTAATCCTCTAGGGTTGGCTCATTCCCAACCTCATTCATCCTTGGTTGCAGGCAAACAGAAGTAAGGGCGAGGGACCATTAGAGATACAAAGGTTTGGATTAGGGACCATCTTTGAAAGAAATAGATCTTTAGACTAAAAAAGTTATAATTGGTAATCGTCCGGGACCATACACATAACTCTAAAATATATTAAAATGTATGTTGCTGTTTTCTAAACTAAATAATTGAGAGGGACAAAAGCTCAACTCGCGCTTAACAAGTGTGCAGAGAGATAGGATCTACCCAATACCACCATTCTCCCAAGTCACCTTCCACTGTTCTTCTTCTTCTTCTTCTTTTGTGTATGAACAGATCAGTGTCGGTCAACTAAGAACCCTTCAAACCAAACATTGCTCTGACCAAGCTTCATATAAAACCATCATCTTCTTCTTCTTCTTCATATAACTCATGTCTCAAAAACCTTAAATCTTTTCACTAAATCCTTTGTTTGAGGGTCAAGATGGCAGGGGATACAAGTGAAGGTACAAGAGAACTTGATCAAACGCCGACATGGGCTGTAGCTGGTGTTTGTGCAATCATCATCGTCGTCTCCATAGCTTTAGAGAAAGTTCTTCATAGACTTGGAAAGGTAACTGCTTTTCCACAATTCTTGCTCGTTTCCCTTCATTTTTATTCCCTTTCCACCCCCCCCCCCCCCCCCCCTCAAATTTATGGCTTTTTGTTCTTCCCAGCTCTTCCCAGAAACCGCGTAGTAATTTCTTTGACTTCGTTTTTGTCAAAATCTCTTAGTTTTATTTAACCTTTTAAGTAACACCCACTTGGAAAATTTCCCAGTTTTCTCTGTAGAATATGAATTGTCAGAATTGAGTTCTTCTGTAGTTTTGACCCTTTTTTCTATTGATGTTGATTGACTACTGATAATTTGTTTTTTTATTATAATTCTTGAAAAAACTCTTGAAATTTATGTTTGGAAGTTACTGAAAGAACGAAATTTACACTCAGTTTTTCACAGACAAGCACAAGAAAGCTTTGTTCGAAGCTCTGGAGAAGGTCAAAGCTGGTAAACATCACATTCATATTCATCCCCAATTTCTTTTTCAAGAATTCGCGTTGGTTTCTAACCCTTACTTCTTCGAACATGTAGAGCTGATGGTTCTAGGGTTTATCTCATTAATATTGACTTTTAGTCAATATTACATTGCGAAAATATGCATCCCCATTGATATTGCTGATACGATGTTGCCATGTACTAAAAAGAAAGAAAAAGTTGAAGAAGAAGTAGCCCACCGATTGCTTCTATGGTACCAAGAGCGCAGATCTTTAGCTGGCGCCAAAGCATCTACCTGCAAAAAGGTAACTCAAACAATCATTTCATCATAAATAACACGATTTACAATCTCATATGAACAACCCTTTTTTCAAAATCTGTAATATTGAGATTTTAAGTTTGTTTTTTGATAGGGGAAAGTGCCGCTTATAACTGTTGATGGGCTACATCAATTGCACATACTCATATTCTTTCTTGCGGTTTTGCATGTTGCATATAGTGCTATAACAATGGCTCTTGGGAGATTAAAGGTACCCTATGTTTATTGTTTACTAGCATTGTTGTTTTATTCTTTATGCAATTCACATAATCAAAATAATATGTTTTATATATTGATGAGATTTGGTGCTACTTTTTTCTCCATAGATTCGTGGGTGGAAGCAATGGGAGCAAGAGACATTATCCCATGATTACGAATTTTCCAATGGTAAAGATAAATACATGCTTTATGTAGGATTAAGGAAATGATATTTTTCGTTACAACATTGTACTTTTGTTTTTTTTTCTTATTAGGATATTATACTTTGAAAAATCTACTCAAGTATAGAAGTGAAAATTGCTTTGTATTTGAATGATATTGCTATAATTGGGTAGATTCTTCAAAGTACAATGTTATAATACAAAGAAACGAAAATATTATTCCTAAAAGCTAAATAAAATGAAAATGTAAAAATCCAAATCAATACTTCATGATCATAATCAAAATAAAATGAAAATGTAAAATCAAAATACAGATCCTTCAAGATTCAGGCTTACACACGAGACTTCTTTTGTGAGAGCACATACAAGCTTTTGGACCCGAATCCCGTTTTTCTTTTACATTGTAAGTTCTCAAAAACTTCATCAAATATTCATAAATGCAAGAAATATAAAAAATGTACTTTCTTTCATTTGTGTAATATAGCAACATCCTAATAGTTTCCTTCTATATTCTATTACAACATTGTAGTTTCACTTTTTTTTTCTTATTAAGTCCTTATACTTCGGAAAATCCACCCAATTATAGCATTATACATCTAACTTTTTTATTTTTTTAATTTTTATCTTACTATAGCTATAATTGGGTATATTTTTCAAAGTACAATTGAGCTATAATAAACAAATTAACAAAAGTACATTTCTATTTCTTGCATTTAACCCTAAACTTTTATATCATGAGTTTGCTTATGGAAGCTTTGTTTATGTAGGGATGCTTCTTTCGTCAATTTTTTAGATCTGTTAGTAGGTCTGATTATATGACCTTGCGAAACGGATTCATAAATGTGAGAATTTATTACTTGTTTGATTGTTTCTTTACTAATTTTATTTATTTATATAATGTTTTTTTTTTTCTAAATTGAAAATTGTTCGATTCTTTTATAGCTTCATTTGGCTCCTGGAACTAAATTCAACTTCCAAAAGTACATTAAACGATCATTAGAGGATGATTTCCAAGTTGTTGTGGGAGTAAGGTACAAATATGTTGTCAATGTGACAAATTTTTTTCAAATACAAATAAAATTTCATCGCTATAATAGAGTATAAAATTATACATAATAAAACCCTAATAAGTAAAAAAAAAAAAAAAAAAACTAAAAGTTAATGTTGTAATTGGTAGTTACTTGGTTTCTTGTCTAAAGACGTAATCACTAATTAATAACCCTTTGATGTTTTGTAGTCCGGTGCTATGGGCGTCGTTTGTGATCTTTTTGCTTCTAAATGTTAATGGTAAGTCACTAAATCATTAACTTGTTTGAAATTTGTTGAATATGTTCGTAAGTTTAATATGATTATCAAAACATTGTGCAAAATGTTTAGAATCCATTTCAATTTCAAAGTTGAAATGCAATCCATTTAACTCAAAAAAAGTCGAATTCAATCTCTTTTCATTGTGAATTGCTTTGAAATCTGCAAAATTTCCTTCATAAAAACCCTATTTTGTTGCAGGATGGCAGGCGATGTTCTGGGCATCGATAATTCCATTAGTCGTACGTGCCTTTCTTCATCTGTCCTTTTGAGGGCATTATAGTCTTTTTGCACAGACGATTTATGTGCATTGACATTTTTTTTTGTTTTACTGTGTAGGTTATATTAGCAGTTGGAACAAAGCTTCAATCCATCTTAACAAAAATGGCTCTTGAAATCACAGAAAGACATGCAGTTATCCAAGGGATTCCTCTTGTTCAAGCCTCTGATAAATATTTTTGGTTCTCAAGGCCACGTTTGATGCTTCATCTCATACACTTTGCCCTTTTTCAGGTGAAATTTTACTTTTTAGGACTTTAATCACATATTTTATATTTATTTATCCTCATGTCACTAACTGTTTTATTGGTTCTTTTGTTCCCACAGAATGCCTTCCAGATAACTTACTTCTTGTGGATTTGGGTAATAAACTGCTTTTTGTTTTGATGTTTATAAGTACTTAAGTTCAATAAATTATTTCTTTTTATTTCAACATTGTACTTTGAAATTTTACCCAACTATAATGTCTTACTAAGAAAAAAGTTCAAAGTATAATGATATAATTGGGTAGGTTTTTCAGAGTACAATGTTTTAATAAGAAAAAAAAGTACAATGCTCTAATCTATAAATGAATTAAAGCAGGTTGCTATTTCTTTATTTATAAAAGAGTGTTTATTTCTTGTGCATGTGCAGTATGAATATAAGATCAATTCTTGCTTCCATGATAACATGAAACTCGTAATACTAAAACTTGTTATCGGGTGAGTATTTTCTTTTAATAAAATAGGCCACATTTTTTTTTACCATTTCTTGATGTATAATTTATGTATATATTTTGTGTTTCAGGGTTGGAGTTTTGATTTTGTGCAGCTATATAACACTTCCGTTATACGCCCTTCTATCCCAGGTTCGATAATTTCTACTTTATTTATGTAAAAACTGTTAAATTTGACTTATATTTTATTAATAACCAATAAATGGGTAAAATTGGAAAAATGTAGGCAAAAAAGAAATCAGTTAAATGCTTATCTATGCAACAATGTTTTTTTTTTTTTTTTTTTTTGCCTTTTTACCAATTTATGTAAAAGTATTTCATTTTTTTAACTAATTTATGCAACTTACATGAATCATGCAACCATGTAATATTCAAATTTTGGTATTCTTTCATGTCACATATTTGTATCTATATCTGTATCTGTCTGCAGATGGGGTCAAACATGAAGAAATCCATCTTCGATGAACACACCGCCAAGGCCCTAAAGCAATGGCGAATGGCGGTGAAGCGGAAACACGGCGGCAAGTCACCTACTCGATCAACCGCCGGAAGTGTTGCCGCCAGCCCTATTCATCCGATGGCCTCCACCACCTCCCGGACCGCCACCGCTATGCTCCACCGTTTCCAAACCACCGGCCACTCTACACGGTCTAATTTCACGTACGAGGACACAGATGTATCCGATTTTGAAGGCGAACCACTCTCTCCGGAATCATCTACTAGACAATTGCTTGATGTTAGGGTTGATTACCATAGTGATAATGAGATTGAATTGGTTCGTGAGGATCAACAAGAAGTGGAAATGAAGAATGAGGATGATTTTTCGTTTGCCAAACCTGCCCCACCAAAATGAGATTTTTGTCAAATTTAGTTTCAATTGTTGTAGAGATCTAGTCATGTTTAACTTTTATCTTGGTTGTTATTTCTTGGGGTTTTATGTTAAGGGGTATTTGATTGTGTAATAGTAAATATATGCATTTTGGGAATATTCTTGAAACTGTATGTTGTATCATAAAACCTTAAAATGTTTTTGAAAGGAATTTGAATGTATCAAAAGGAATTAGAATGTTTTGAAAGAAATTTGGTTCTATGAATATTGGAAAAATTGAAATGCCTTTGGTTGGTGGAATGGAATTCATTTCATTTGTGTATATTTATATTTGGTCTATAAATCTGTCGAGAGGATTAGGAATGTTATATATACAATGAAATTGTATCTGTGTTGTTTTTTAGTAAATTATTATTTGATAAATATAAATTACTGATATTTAAATTAGGGAAAACTTCATGAACGACCTAAAATTTTCCCTTTAAATTACCCATTTATTAGTTTTTAATTCATGAAATTTTGTAAAACACTATTTCAGGATTAAAAAAAAGCACAACGGTTTCAAAACTAATTCAATATATTACTCAAAGCCTATAAGACTAAAAACTTGTAAAAATAATTTTTTTATTTTGGACGTATAGAGTTTTTATAAAATTATAAAAAGTTTATTTACGAAAAATATAATCAAAACTAACTTATCTAAATGTTTTAATTTAGTTATTTGACCATTTATAATAAGATATAATCAAAATCAACATATTAATAGTTAAATAATTTGAAATTACCATCTATAAATGGTTAACATTAGATCGATTAGAGATGAGCAGTTAGTACGAAATCCCGATCTTATACCTGTACTGAAAAAACAGGTATCATTCCCAATACATGTAACATGTAATTAGTTCGGTTGTTCGGTACTAAGTATTGAGTTTCCATCTATTTGGTTACTTGGAATTTTTAGTATAATCATCCCAATTCAGTCGCAAAGTTAAAACTCAGTAAACAAACTTTGTCACAAATCTATTACTTTGTTCATTTGGCTACAGGTGTATGACGTATTATTGACCGAAATAAATCCAAGGCTCTAGCAAATATTTAGTGATTAATTAAGAACTATCGGGCCTAGATCATAGGCCGATTATATTTTCATAGGAGGTTAGTGATTATGGCCCATCTCCATTTAAATATATAATTCTTGGTTGGTTATGGAAGAATTCGGAAATATGGTCAAAAAGTTGTGGTCCACGGGTGAGACACAAGACAATGGGAATAAATTTATTGTTTTTAAAAACAAGATGAATGCTTTAGAAAAACATATACGTGAATGGTCCTTAAAAATGGTGCATGAAAAAGTTTGGTAAGAAAAATGAGTTATTCAAACTTGTTAGTGATAAAGAGAAATTGTTGACGAAGGTACCGCTTCACGAAGAAGAATTATAAGTGAAATCCGGATGGTTGAACAAATTGGTATGTGTGAATATATTCAAATGGCGAAAATAAAATGGGGGCTTAGAAGCGGATGAAAATATGAAGTTTTTTCATGATTTAATTAATCGAAAACGCCGTTATCTTTCGATTAGATGCATTAAATCCGAAGGGGTGTGGGTTATGACTCATGCTATGGTTAAAGAGATCTTCTTCGATTATTTTGCATAGAAGTTTCAGAAGATCGTCAGGGTTCAGGTGGTTCATCGTAGTGCTAGATTTCGGTCCCTCACGGTTGAGTAGATTTCAGATTTGGAAGCCATGATGTAACACCCGGATCATGGAGGTACTTAATTTCTTGAATTTTAGCTTTGGAAGAAGGTCACGACATGAGACATGGTGGCCACATTGTGAGTGACCATTGACTAGTTGACTCGTGTCACGACGTGAGACTTTGAATGCTCACGACGTGAGAACGGTTTGATGACCAAAACCCTAATATTTCGGGTATTTAATGGAACGAGAGGGCTAGGGTTACCCATCTTTAGCCTCCTTCACTCTCTTGCCTCCTGAAAACCCTGATCTCGACGTGCTTGAGGTGCTTAGCCATTTTTGGTGACATTGAAGCACTTATTTCGTGGTCTTTGGCCCGTTGAAGTGGAAGAAGACTTTTGTGGAGCATTCTCTTGGCAATCCAACTTCTACCTCACCTTCTTGCATAGCTTTTGGACCATTGTAAGTCATAAAGCTCTGGCCTTTTTACCTCTTGCATGCTAGATCTAGATTTTAATCTCCTTCTTGCATGGTTGTGTCGGATTGCATGCATGTGATACACAAAGTTGGCAACTTTATGGATCATTGAGACATCTCATGTATTATAATCTTTGGATCCGAGTTTTGGAGTAGTTTTAGACTCCAAGCATGATTCTTGATCCTATTTTCCCTCTTTTGACCTACTGAGTGTTTGAGTCATGCATTGGACATGCATGACTAAAAATATACAATTTTTATCATCATTTGAGTGAGGGAAGACCCTATGAAAAGTCCCAAGTAGTGGCTAGAAGGAATAAGAGCTTAATTCTCAAAGCTGGCCAATGCAGCGCTCACGACGTGAGGAATGGGCCTATCACGTCGTGAGAATGCATGCTATCCCGACTGTTTTGTCCGGATTAGGTCACGACGTGACTAGGAGTGGCCACGACGTGACGATGACTGGAATCGAGACTGGGCGAGTTGATGGGCTGAGTTAACCCGCTGAGTTGGGACCGGGTCAAGTTGTGTAACAACCCGTTATTTCAAGTCAATGTAAGTCAAACTTGTTCAAAGAAAAGTCTAAGCTACAATCGTATATAAGTGAATTCATATCATAGCATTGATGCAATAAGAACTATGAATGTCATAAGGACATGTTTATATACTTATTATATGAGTATACCTTGGGAAAACATATTTATATAAGTTATATATACTTATATATTCAAAACCATGCACATATATGTTTATATAGGTTGATATGTTTATATATACTAAATATTATGAGGAAATAAGATAGTATGAGTCAACATAAGTCAAAAGGTGAAGTTAAAATCCAAATTTAACACCTTATATATGAGATTTCGGTTTTGGGAATCTAGGATCAAAGGTGTTTGTGGTTTTAAGCATCTAGGAACAAAAGTGTTTTTGGTTTTTAGCATCTTGGGAAATATTGTGTTGTCGGTTTTGTAACATCCACTAAGGCCGAAAACTCTCATTTGTGGGACAACCAAGGTGATTTCGGCCATGCTAAGGCCGAAATCAACCTTATCTTGGCTGAAAATCCTCACTAATATCTAGATATTTGTCACACCCCCGAACCAGGACGGCAGAAACGTCCGGGGGTGGTTGACGTCATTGTGTAGTATCATAACAATTATATATGAATGAAACATAGCAACCAAACATCATACAATACAATATACCAACATTCATTGTTTTACAAATTGTACTTGTTTAATAATTACACAAAAATAACATAAAGTAGGATTCCTCAAAAGGTAGTAAAATAATCCAGATCTAAGGCTTGAGTACCTGTTCAATGAGTCCCTGAGAATACAAGTCGTTTGAAAAGCGTCAACATAGAATGTTGGTGAGTTCATAAGCATGTTTGTAGGAAAAACTTTGTAATATCTTTTCTTATAATAAGTGTAAAACTTCAGAAAATCCGATATTTTCTATAAAAAGTAGTTTGTGAGTTTCGTTCCAAAACCGTGTATAATTGCATGCATGTCCTTTGTTATCCTTTGTTTGTATTTGAAAAGAGTGTATCCCCAGAAAATCCTATATTTTATGCATATAAAAGTGTTGTGGTCTTAAAGCCCTAAGACCCGAGTGGTGAAATCAGTTTTCAAAGTATACGAAACATAGCTTGGTGTTTTGTGAAAACTAGTAGAGTGAAAATTCTTTGTAAATTCGAATAATGTGGTCATTCTCTATGTGTCTTTTCCTTGTAGAGTAATACTGAATAAATCCAGAAAATCCGATATTTTCTGTAACAACGTAAATTTTCAAAACAATTTTTCATTTTTAAATCATACTTTCAATCACAAAACATAATGTATCCACTGTGTCATAACAAAACATGTCCGCAGAATTTCAATAACATAAACTCTATAAGTATGTACGGATCATGCCGGCGCCTTCCCGCGATCCTCGCTAGTACCTGAAACACATAACACAACAACTGTAAGCATAAATGCTTAGTGAGTTCCCCAAAATACCACATACCACACATACGCCTTTCCAGGCCATAACTCTACAGGATCTTCCGATCCATGTGTCTCAGGGGACTTAGGTCCCAAATCCCGGTAGACCTTCCAGTCCTACCCGTATCGACCTTCCGGTCCATAACCCCTTGACCTTCCGGTCCATATCATCTTGACCTTCCGGTCCATATCATCTTGACCTTCCGGTCCTTACCATACATAACATACATAACACATACATATCACGTAACCGCATATAGCACATACATCCCATAGCATACAAGACCTTCCGGTCACACATATCACATAACCGCATATAGCACATACATCATAGCATACAAGACCTTCCGGTCATACATAGGTACCCTTCCAGGTACAGTATAGTGAGAAGACTCACCTCGAAGATGTCGGATAATCACTCGTGCTCAATCTTCCGACCTAGCTTCCTCCTATAGCATAAAGACATCTCTAATTAACACCTCCCTGACTTAGTTTGACTAATGCCCTAAAGTCAACACAAGTCAACTCTGGTCAACGTTGGCCAATGGCTACCCCTTTGACCCAACTCGTCGAGTCAGGCACTGACTCGGCGAGTTCAGACGTGAACTCAAGTCCCCTAAATCCCAACTGACTCACCGAGTCATTCCCCCAACTCAGTGAGTCACCAACTGTGAGTCACGGGACAACCCGGTCCGACTCGACGAGTCTGCTCATGGACTCGGCGAGTTCATTCCATGCTCGAACTCAAATGGCCTTCTGAGGTCAGATATGTTCCTCTAATCCTTAGATATGACCTTCCTAAGCTCAATAAACACGTAAAGGTTCAAACTTGATACCCATACAACGTCCAAATAACTCTACTTGAAGAATTAGCCCCAATTACAACATCCTAAGTCCATTTCTTCCATAACTCATCATAAAGCAAGATGGATAAGGCTCTCTGGACCACTATGGGTCCAGATCCGAAGCCTAAACAAGATAAGGGGCCATATTTCCAACAAATCATCCCAATAAAGGGTATAGAAAACCCTAGATCCATGGATTCTTCAACAAAACAGAAAAAG